AAAAAATCTGAAATCACAAAATTTTACCAAAATCAATAACATCACAGCGTACGACCTCTCAACACTTTATACAACCATTCCCCGCGATAAATTAAAGTTCGGGCTTTTTGACATCATAGCTGCTTTTTCATTAAAAATGGAACTCGTAAATATACTTATCTTGTCATTGGTCGTTTGCAAAATTATTTTGTTAAAAACATTCTGATTGTACACACAAGTACCCTGAAGTTGATATTAAAAAGATGCTTGAGTTTCTGATCGACAATATCTATGTAGTTTTTGGAGATCAGGTGTTCCAACAATCCGTTGGAATTCCCATGGGTACCAATTGCGCCCCGTTATTAGCAAACCTATTTTGTTTTCATACGAAGCAGAATTTATTCAAAAACTTCTACATGAGAAGAAGAAAACACTTGCTATGGCCTTAATTTGACATTTAGATGTATGAAAGATGTCTTATCAGTTAACAATAGTTACTTTCATCCATATGTCGATTCGATATATCCCAGTGAACTAGAAATAAAAGACACCACAGAGTCTGCCACTTCTGTTTCATATTTGGATGTTTTATTGACTATAGACGATAAGGGCCAACTAACAACTAAATTGTATGACAAACGAGATGACTTCAACTTTTCCATCGTCAACCTTCCTTATTTATGTAGTATATGTATACATGTGTACATCAGCAGTCTCGTTTAAAGTCGTCATTTCGTAAGTTCTATGGTCGAAACAATGACCTTGTCAGCAAATACAATTTATCATTAAATCAAATGCTGACTGACTTTTTCATACTTATTGTTAGGCCATTATTTACATACTGAATTGTCGACGGTTTTTTCCCGTTATTTCCCGATTATGACAAGGAGCACACGGCGGGTGTGACCGATCGGCAGGGGATGCTCACTCCTACATGGCACCTGATCCCACCTCTGGTGTTTTAGAGGTCTGTGTTTGCTCTGATCCAAAATTTGTATTGTTTGATGGACTTTTGACCTTCAGTGCTGTTTGTTATCTCCATACATTTCATAATATCCAGCTATCACCTGTATATTGTGTCTATATCTCCCAACTTATTCGATAATCAGGAGCATGTTTCGAGTAAGATCAATTTTTAAACCGAGGAAGGCTGCAGACACATAGGTTGATGCCACAGGGATTTCAACAACTTCGTTTAAAGTCAGCATTTCGTAAATTTTATGGTCGTTAAAATGACCCTATTAGCAAGGATAACCTATCATTCGTTCGTTTTTTATTTTTTTTTTATTTTTTTTTATTTTTATTTTTTTTTTTTTGCTGATTGGTTTCATTAAGGCCTTCGTATTTATACTGAATGTGACTATGGAATATTCCATCTACCTGATCAATAAATAGGGATCACGGCGGGTGTGACTGGTCAACAGGGGATGCTTACTCCTCCTAGGCACCTGATCCCACCTCTGGAATTTCCAGGGGTCCATGTTTTATGCCTTCTTCACAGAACTGTATAGTTTATAGATTTTTCTGAGATCGATCACCGTTCGTTAACTACACGCTTTTCACTAAAAGATGGCATATGGACACAGAGACGTATAACTCACCAAAACTTCCGATTTGGCTTGACTGGTTGTTAAAAAAAATAAATCATTCATATCAACTTTTTTATACAATGCGTTATTTCATGTATGCTTTAAGTAATTATCAATTATAATGGCAAATTAAGTAATGGTACTGTTTAATCAACAGTAATAATAATTTCTTAATTGCTCGGTTACATCTCTGGTAATAGTTGTAATGTATCTAGGAACACAGAAGTAACCATTAATGAAAGGTTGTGATGTCACAAACTCTGAACTGAAAGATCTAATTTCCAACATAAATACATATCAATTAAGTTGACCATCTCAAATGGAAAGGTTTACAGAGATATCGGCATTACATTTGTTTACACTAGCAATTGATTGAAAACATCAATTAGACTGGTTCATGAAAGAGTACATGGGAATATTGCAAAAATTTACAATATGTCTTCTATGACCATATTTTGTTATAGATTTTTAAATCTTATGGAAATTATTTTCCATAACTACTCAAATACTTGACAGAAAAAAAATATTATAATACGCTATAAATCACTTTACTCGAGACATCTTTATTTTCAGGTTATAACTCGAGACCGAAAATATCTTTCTCTTTTTTAAAAATTCTACTATTAAAGAATATATAGGACAATAACAGTAAATTTGTAAAAATTTTGTTTCACTTATACCAAACAACAATCTGACAGAAATAAGGAGTGATCTGCAGTATATTACTGACAAGGAAATAGACCAGTAGAGCAATTCCAGTGTTCTATAAAACAATGTGTCATTTCAGGAGCTAAGGTATGAGATCCCTAAATAAACATATTCAATTTTTATTAAAACTTTAATACAATATCTAAAATATTATTTCAACAAACAATATGACAATCTGGAGTCCTCTGAGACATGAAACAGAAGGTCCGGGGTCCACAACGCTCACCTGAGTAACAAAGGCCCTTCTCTCCATCAGCAGACTCTTTTTCCTACATATTACTTACATGTAAACCTTGGATAACTTTTTATGGCCCAATTCTACAGAATTCTTAGAATAAAACTGTCAATCAGTAACTATGAGGGAAACAATTCTGAAACTATTTTAACGATAACATGACATCTCTGTCCCCTTATAAGTGAAATATTCACGAAGGGTTGTGGTGGAAACAAAAAAAAAATTCCCTTTACTTTCTTTCATACTTATTTGGCATCTTAGTGGAATCGTGCCATCGATGTTATGTGGGGAAAATAATATTAGTTTTATTAATAGATCTATCAAGTCTTGAAATAACTAAAAAATGTCCCTTTAGCTTCTAATCTGTGAGCAAAAAGAAACCATAATTTGATTTGAAATACTTATATTTTGTTCAGTAGATGAATTTCTTTATCTCATAATCGTTTCTTTGTCCCTTTAAAGAATTCAATCCATTAACGCAAGAGTTTCTCTGTTATACGGATTAATATCTTGTCTTAATATTGAAAGGAGACGCTTTCACGCCGTAATGAAGAGCACACGCTCCCAGATTATCAGGCTTGGCCAGTTCTTTAATGTAAATGATATTAGATTGTTTGTTTTTCTTAGTGGTTGGCTAAAAGATATCAACATTAAGGGGTTTTATAAAAATATTTTTTTCTGTCATTTAACATCATTCTTTTGAAGTTATTGAGATGATGTTTTCTCCAAATAAGTTGTAATTTGATAGAAATAACGAGCAAGTTAAACTACAAGTGCAATATTGTGAAATTATTTGTACATTAGCGTCAGACTTGTATCTCGTTAATCTCACAAACTTTGTTCCATCTAAATTGTATAAGAAATGGTGAACTTAGAACATCAGAGGGACAAAGTGTAACTTAATCAGCTCCGTTTCCATCCTTCAGATTATTAAGTTGTGGATTTATGGATACAACAATAAAAATAAGAAATCATTATGGATTTATTACATTTCCTTACTTTCTAAATAATTGCATTGAGAGAAACAATTTATGGAACATCTACTTTTTAAAATACCTGTGTCAAGAAGTATTTTGCAATGTTTAAATCAAAACACTCAAAAAACCTGTAGAAGCATAAAGGCTTTGAATTTCTTTTTTTTTTTTTAAACCATTATACGATCTTAAGCATGATTGCATGTAGTTAACAAAATTATATTTACTTTCACAAAGAAATCGCTGAAATGTTGTACTTGTTTTTCTCAAATAATTTTTTTCTTAACATTATCAAACGAAATTTTCTAAAAAAAAAAAATCTACAATGAATTATGTGGAGAATTTATTATTTATAGAATGTATTATCACTCCCCCTCCCCCCTTCCCCGCCCTCGGCAGGTAAAAAAAATCACACGTCTTCAATGTGGCCCTGGGACATTGTTAATTTGACATTTATAACTATAGTTTCTTACAACAGGGTGGAATGTTTCATTTCCTAACCAAGTTTGCAAAAAAATATTGATTGACATTCATTACTAGCCTTGCATACTACTAGTCTTATCTGGAAAATCATCAACATATGGTTACAGTACATTTATTTATGAAAAGATACGTCATCAACTATAAAAATGACAAAGGTTATAAGACAAAATATATAGATACTCATATAGTTAAATAGAAACGTCCCTGGTTTTGAGTACAAATCCTTACAATTGAATACAGAATATATTTTTAAAGGAAATTTGTACTATGTAGCTCTGTGAGAAGACCGAATAAAGGTACTAGTGGACGAAATCGATCGAGCCCATTAAAACCTTTACTGCAAAAAAAAAACGTCGATTGATATTACAATAGATAATTATGTAACATGTAGTTATTTCATTAATTAAAGAGGAAGAAATAGTAGCATGGTTTTTGATTTGTTTTATTTGTTTTTTTTTTTTTTTTGGGGGGGGGGGGGTTGTTGTTGTTGTTGTTGTTGTTGTTTGGTTTTTGGTAGTATACTGAATACCATTATGGAATTAGTGTACACGTAATGTCTTGTACATTTCCAAAACGACATACTAGTATGCACGTATAATGTATATTGATATAAAATCAGTAACTTAAATTTAGTTTTTTTCCATCTATAAAATGATAGATCAGGTCGTTAATTCCCTGATATTTTCAAACATTATCTTTTTAAAAAGCAAACATACACCTATTTTGTTTCAACTAACAAGTTCCTGCTGTCAGAAATGTTAATGCTTGTGTATAGTGTATTTTTTTTTTATTCGTCAGGAAACGAGGGGGGGGGGGGCATTAGAATCGACCACTTTCCGGCGCTTTGTGCGTCATCGAGCCTTCAGCTTCGGTTGGTTTCATATGATTTAAGCAAGCTTTCTCATTTACTGTTCATGTAATTCCATTGTTTCTCAAAATGCGAGTACAGATTTTCTGCTAAAAATCTTTCTGCATAAAAATGGTTATATTTCAATGCAAATTTAACAAAAATCTTTTTAGAATAATGAGACGTGCAAGATAAATGTAATTATATGATATGGAACATATTTTCCCTAGACTTTTGCTTTAGTTGGATTCGAACTTAACAATTAGGAACTAATTACTGCCATTGTTGTGAGATACACAATATTATTAGAAACCAAAGAAACAAAGAAAACAATAAAGAACAACTTGTCAAAGGCTAATCCCACATCGTTCCAGGTAATATCAATGTCTGCTGTATCATCAACACATTCAATGGGAGGTTTTTCTGAGCCGTCATATTTTTTGACCGTCACCTTGGCCTTTCTACGCTTACAACAAAACTTCATGCTGCGAGTAAAATTCTTTAGTCTTGCCGGAATTTCCCTATCTTCTGTTTCATGGTAAAATTTAAGTCCAATCACTACGGCTATAACCATAGAACATCCTAACAGCATGTCTACCAGGAGTTTGTAGGTGAGGTTCGCCACGCTCGGCTCTGACGCCTCCGGAAGTTTGTCCTGAATAATGGTAAGGAATACAGCAACGGCCAAAAGCACAGTTATAGAAAACCCCATCCTCTCCCCCGACTCAACCGGCAAAATAAACACCAATATCTGGATAAAGTTCATTAAGCAGATCGGCAGTATAAGACCGGCGATGTAATATGTGGTCCGTCTTTTCATGTTTATCTCAAGTCGTAGTTCCTCAAAATTGAACACGTTAAGTTGGTAATAAAGACGGGTGCTCGTGATAGACCAAAGTCCATTTTCTTCATATAAGTCCATGCGGAATGTTGATATCGCAGGTCTTAGAAGAATATCTGTCGGAGAGAATCCAGGAACGTAAAATTTCAAAGTACACGTCTGCGAATCAAAGGGGTAATAAGTGACGTCAGCATCGCACGTTGCTTCATAGAGGTCAGGGGGCAGACAATTAACATATCCTCCATCTGTGACCTTGCAAGACATTTCATCTAAAAGCACTTTCTTAAGCTTAGCAAAAGGATTCATCAAAACTAAAAAAGGGACCCACATGTCGGAGGTAAACAGAGTAGTTTCGTACAAGTCACCGCCATAGCCACTAGGGTTCCAAGACAGTCGGGAATCTATCCACTCTAGTCCCAATGACCCCACGATTCCAATCTTACTTTCGGCCTCCGAGAATTCCTTCAAACTCGCCAAGTAGAAGTTAAACTTGATCTGTAAGGGGACTGTCCTGTTTTCCCCAGGCCTCACCCTCCGATCATATCCCGTGGCCAGGTTCGTGTGTAGCTGCGTCTGTTGTGTGATCGTGTATCCCTCCACACAAAACACTAAAGGAAGAACTAAAATCAATACGTCCATCCTCTCACTGTCTATTTCATACCAACTGCGAGCAGTTTTATCAAAATTTCTGTATTTTAAATTGTATTTGTGTTTAATAGATCATATCTGACAGCTCGAGTCTATAATTGTCCTATGTCCATTTAAAGATTTCATTGTCAAAAAGATCCCTGTTATAAGTTACAACTTGTCTTAATATTGGTATAAGACGCTTTTCAGACTTTATTAAAGATGAAACTTAGATTATATTTAATCCAGTACTTTGGAGTAATCAATATTAATTTGTTTCTTTATTTAAGTGATTGGTTTTTACATGTCGCCTTCGTATGTTTTTTACACTATAAAACAATCCGTCGCTTGATCACTGGAATCGTTTGTACCGGTAATTACTCATAATTGAACGATTTTCAATAAGTCGCAGGTCTAAATAAATCGCAAAAATATATCATGATTGGCGAAATCGTTAATTACTTGAAGTCGACTGGTAATTTACAGACCAGAACCAATTATGAAAATTTAGTCACTAGAGTATCACGTGTATATGTTGCACTAAAATATAAAAAAGTGTGTGAGCTTAAACTGTTTAGCAAAGAAAATTATAAATCCCCGTGTCTTCGTATACTAAGTATTGTATACCTATCGGTAGCTATGTCCCTGATACTTATTTAACCAAACAAACCAGTTCTTTTGAGAACATAAATTATTTTGTCACTATTAAAACTTTAAATTACCAAACTTTTTTTTCATAATTGTTCGGTAAAGTATTATGACGTCAGAGAAAGCTTAAGATAAATTTAACTTAACAATTTAATGTATTTGAAACCTGTCATGGTGTCATTTTAACGATTCTCACAGTTCTTAAGTTCTTTTTTTCCATTCACATGGGAAAATAGTTTCAACTTTAAAAAGGAAATGATCCCTCAATCAGAGCGGACGTTTATCTTGATCCCTCCCGTTCTGAAATCCGTTGTCCATTGTCTGCCGTGTAAAGAAATCACGACTCCTTTATATTTAACATAAATATAAGCTACGTAACCCACAAAACAGTTTAAATGTAAAAGAAATCAATATTGAAATTAAACAAGTTCTTTATTAACTGGTTAACAAGGTTTCAAAAAAATAATACAGATATTTCTATTAGAGGGCAGCTAAGCTGATAGATATAAACGTTTGATGCTGAAGGTGCAGTTTGTTTTCAAATTTTCATAGGTAAAAAGTTTGCATTAAAAATTAATAAATTTTTTATCAATAGATCAACTATTAACAATATACTCAATCCCAAATGTTATTGTTAATAAATGATCTTTTAATAGATTGATTTCGGTTCATATATAGAAACATAGGTAATTAAAGATAACGAAGCTAACCTCGAGAAATGTTATCTATAAGTAAGACCTTTACATCAAACAAATGCTTTGGTAGTGAGCATCCTTAGACGCAACATGTATGCAAGCTTGGTCAGGGTTTGACATAATCATTTAGGAATGAACTTGCTCCGAAAATTTTAACTATTCAGTCATCTAAAATTTGAAGAATGCAACATCCGTAGCAGATCTGGTAGTATGCATCCTATCCTACTATAATAAAAAAAAAATACTACAGTTAATTATAGTAATTTTAGATAGGGAGAGAATAAGCGTCCATGTAAGTTTGTTCACGGTAGGTTATAGTTACTTAGGGATAAATCTGTAGCCTCTTACAACTAAGATTAAAATTTGACAATTCTGTAATTTTTTTGTTTAATAAAGAAAAGTATTATATCTGAAGGATAATTCTCAATATATTGTAATGTAATAGAAATATAAGTTTTTTTTTTAACCTACTACAATTTAGTCGGTTTTTAGAAGAATTTGAAATTTTTAATCCAAGTCGTAAGATTTTTTTGTGAAAAGGGCTACTGCTCTGAAAAACTTGTGAAAATATGTTTAACCTGTTCAAGCAATGTAGATACGATCAAGCATTGGAAGCAAGTCAGGTAAGTTCATCGTTATTTGAATCATCCCTACAAATTTCGTTCTGGTATTAAAGACTATTGGTTACTTGGGAATTGACTAATCTGGGACGTCAACACCGACACCAACGTCGGGATATAGGCTGATCTTGACTTCGTCGAGGTAAAGTAAAATCTTTCTTGAGTATCGAATAAGTTTCGGTCTGGTTTTAAAGACTAATGGTTACTTGGGAATTGACTTGCTCCTAAATCTTGATTTGAAATGTTGACTCCGACGCCAACGCCGAGATATAGGCTGATATTGACTTCGTCAAGGTAAAGTAAAAATCCTTGAGTATTGTGTAAGTTATAGGAGACGTAATTTTCCTACATAAAAAAAGTAAAGCTGACGATGGAAAAGCTGAAGTCATCTCGATGTCATACAATTTAATTGTTAGTAACCCTTATCGCCAATAATCAGTAAAACATCCAAATATAAAACAGTAGTGGCAGACTCTGTGGTGTCTTTTATTTCAAGTATCTGGGATATATCGAGTCGAATGAATGGAAGTTTCTACTGTTTATTAATAATATTTATCTGAATGTCGAGCTGAAGGCCACAACAAGTGTTTTCTTTTTCTCATGTAGAAGTTTTTTTTTTAACGAATTCTGCTTCATAGGAATTTAAAAACAGGAGCATAATAAGTGCCAATCGGAACTCCAACTGTTCGTTGGAAGACCTGGCCCCAGCATCATGAATCAACTTTGTGCTGAAAGGTTTTTGAAGTCAAACTGTCCAAAAATAAAAATGGTATTCGACACTGTGTTATCAAAACTGCTGTTGTTTGTAATTTAAAAGTTTCAATCACAAGTAATGATTATCTTACAGATGTTTAAAATTTTGACTTAAATCAAAGTTTGTTTTATAATCCTGGGGCCTGGTCGCCTAAGGCTACATAAAGTTGTCAATGAGAAACTCCAGCATACTTTTAATATCAACGTCAGAATAGTTCGAAATGGCTGTATAAAGTGTAGAATTGTTGATTTTAAATTTTCTAAAAGTTATTTCGAGCTTTTGAGAATCCACATCCGATTTACACCACTTCTAGAATATACTGTATCACAGTGAAATTTCAATCTTTACAACATGTAATATTTTTGTGAGGAGTAAAGATAAGGGCTTGGTAGAGCATTTGCTGGACCCGGCAGTGTATCGTTGTTAAGCATTTAAATGAAGTTTAGAAAACCCGTAAAGGCAGGGTTGATCTGGCTGAAATGTTAAAAGTATTGAAATTTTACTTATATGTGATTTTGAAGAATTTTATCCTTAGAAAGTGAAATGTGAGTATGAGTTGAATTTGCAGACGTTGAATTAAAAGGAGGAGGAGATGTAGTTTGTGTTTATTCTATGTTTTGGGATAATGCATTATTGTATCATTACTGTTTTTCTGGAGATGAATTTGGATTCCAAAATTCACACACCGACCCTACTCAAAGTATCGAATGCGGTTGATATCAATTCATTTCATTGCTCAATTGTTTGCATTAAAACCCATCAATATTTTTTTTTTCATTTAATTACTTGAGAAGTCATTAGTTTTAGATCAGGTGACAGGGATTCAATCCAGTAGAACGAATAAGCTTTATTATGAAAACGCCTAGTGTGTATCCGGACTAGGGTCATCCGAAGGACCATCGATTTTCACTTACTATTTCCAAGTGTGTGATCAATGGACATACACTGTTTAAGAGTGTTCTACTATTATGTTAACTCAGTCATATCAAAATTTTTGCCTGACAGTCCAAGCTTTCTTAAGAACATTGTTTTTCCGGAAATTTGTCATTTTTGATAAATGTAACAGAAATATAAATGAGCATGGAAGCACGAAATAGATACATATAAGAACAAGAAAACATTGATGTAACCATCAATTGTCGCCCGGGAAATAAATAAAGTAAACAATGGAAATGCGTCTTGATCATCAAACTGCTTCGATATGTGTGAAAAAGGCATGCGTCTAAATGATGGAGACGATAGTCGAGAATATTTTGAAAACTTATAGTCGGATGAAAATCGAACAAAAACGATACCCTTTTAAACTTTATCAATTCCTCAAGTAAATGTTGGCTGCATAAAATATAAATTGAAACCAGACACATGCATCACAAATTTTCAAAAATGTCTTTCACTTTAAGAATATAAAACACGAACTGTGTAAAGTACGTTTTTACGTTTTTATGCGATAAGTGAAATTCGATGTTCTAAAAAAGGGGACCTGTCGTTTTTTCGATAGTAAATGATAAGCAACTTTATATAATAAATATGAAAAACATATATATTTTTACAGATTCACTTTATGGAAGTAAATATATTGCGTATCTCGTAATTTATAAAGGGAAAAACATTCTCATTAACAATCTTTTTAATGTTTAGAAAACCTTTAATTCTGAATAACATCTCCACCTCAATCCCCATATACCAACACTTAAACTTATAGAGCAGCCCCGTCCTCCGGGCTGCAATTAGGTTAGGAACGTTTACACGTGACACGATTACGTCATCAGCTCTGTTTTCTGTACCCTACACATTAATGAGTTTTATTTGTTTTTCTCTTTAATGTTTCGAGTAAAAGTCTTTGGACTAAATTGGCCAACATGCAAACTGTCAAAAATATGATAAAGTATAGGTGCCATTCCTAACAATGCAATGATATCTAATTTATTCATAAAGTTGAACGAAAATATTTTATCAATCTGAAAATAGGAACATTATGAAATAATTGAATTTTGCAAATTTTAAGGATAACGTTTACGCTTAAGGTTTAAGGGATTTAGTTGAAAGAAACCGTTTGCTATAAACTACAATTTCTTATTTTTAACAAAATTCTCTCTAAATGGACAAAAAAAAATTCCTGGTATAATTCAATATCAAAAATTTAATGTTATATATTTTAATGTTATATTATTTTTTTTAAAATTGCAAGAAGAAAGGTAGAATTATTGTGATGAAGAGGAAATTCTAACCTAATTTCAATTTTTTCAATATTTTTCAAAAAAAAAATAATCTTGCGATATTATTCCATTCTATGTGTTTTTAACGTCATTTTGCAAACATTGTTTGTGTTAATTCAAATTATTCAATGGCTTGCAATGAAGATTATTAAAAATATCTAAACAAAACCCATTCCAGATGACATATCTCAAGAATTTGATATTAACCCCATATAATGTTAATACAAGCTGAATAAGGGCAATGTTGCTATAAATACTTTACCGTTGCTCTAAATACTTTACCGTTGCCTTTAATACTTTACTGTTGCTATAAATACTTTACTGTTGATATATATAATTTACCAATTGCTATAAATACTTTACCGTTGCTATAAATACTTTACCAATTGCTATAAATACTTTACCAATTGCTTTAAATACTTTACTGTTGATATATATACTTTACCAATTGCTATAAATACTTTACCGTTGCTATAAATACTTTACCAATTGCTATAAATACTTTACCGTTGCTATAAATACTTTACCGTTGCTATAAATACTTTACCAATTGCTATAAATACTCTAAAGTTCTTATCAAGGAAACTAATAAAAAAAATTAAAAATGAGTTAAAGTTTGAAAACCAACAGAGGAAATTCCATCGGAATAATGTACACGTTTATTGATGTAACTCTTATTTTTTTGTTTAAAAATTAGCAACACAAATCTATTTTCCTTATATTTTATTGTCCAAAGAGCTTTGTTACTTGTTATATTTTGTTGATAAAGAAAATACTGGTCATAGTTTTAAAAATAAGATATTTTCCAAGAAATACTCATAGGCCTTTTGATCAAGCATGAATTTAGGTCATTCACCTAGTTATTTAAAGTGAACAATTAAAATATAATCATAGGTCTACAATATAAAATAAGTGATTTCTCATTCTTTTCAGTGGATTAATTTTGTCAATGAGTAATCGTCATCCTTAAATGCTTCTTTTTCTAAAACACGTTTATTTCCAGTTGTATAAAAACATTTATCTCTGCATGGCTGTATAATATACATAAATGTATTATGTATGTTCACAATTGTACCGAACGGAATACAAAATCTTTGCAGTGCACCACTAGATGCAATAATTATACACTTATGTAGATTGCAACATCGCTTGTTAAAAAACTTTTGATATGCGAATAAATTTCTCTAAGCAGTATAGATATCTTGAGGTCACACAATCAAATAAAAACTTTCTGTAGTTCAGCATAAGAATCAAGGGAACTTTGTCATTGTTGTAAAAGATTTACGTACGGAGAGTGTGTCTTGTTTGACCCTTTGGAAGGACAGATATCGGCAAGCAAACATACGAGTGGTTTTAAAGTAATCCTTTTCTCGTCAATTAATAGCATAGGAGCGTTAAATATACAGTCATTTCTATATGAAATCGAATTCGAATAAAGCGTATCTGATCACAGAGTAGCATTTCAAAATTCCTTACAGGGAGTAATATATACAGGATGGATAAATTAACTCTCTTCTTTCTTCTCAGCAATCTCCGTGATGTTTGGTGTTACACTATTGCACAGGAAACACAGTTACATACAGATTTATTCAGTGGCTACCAGAAAGCGATACGACCAGGGGCAGATAGAACACAACCGCTCTCAATCGGAGTAAACTTTTTGTTCATTAGCATCAAGGAGTTCAGTGAGGAAGAGAGTAAACTGGCCGTCATCGGAGCATTTAAGTTCACCTGGCGGGACAATCGTTTAGCTTGGGATATGAACAAATATGGCGGTGATCTACAGGACACGTCTGTTTTACAAGAGACAGTTTGGATCCCTAATGTTGTCAACCTGAATTGTTTTTCCACCATGAAACCCCTGGGTTCTGACTCTCTAAGTGTCAGGGTCTATAATAGTGGTGCAATTTCCTGGATCCCACCGGTTCTCATTGAGAGCACGTGCGATGCGGATGTGACGTACTACCCGTTTGATTCACAGACATGCGTGATGCGGTTTTATGTTCCCGGCTACTATCCGAATGATATAATTTTTTCTCCGGGGTCCTCTGAGGCTGACATGTTTCAATATGAAGAAAACAATCTCTGGAAGGTAACCAATACCAGGATGGACACGGTTTTGAATTCATTTTCTTTCCAAGAACTTCGTATTCATATTGAGATGACCAGGCGGTCCAGTTACTATATTGCTGGGCTGATTCTTCCGATTTGTTTGATGAGTTTTCTACAGATTATGGTTTTCATCCTTCCCGAGGAATCCGGGGAAAGGATAGGTTTTTCTGTCACAGTGTTGTTAGCGGTAGCAGTGTTTCTTACCATTATCCAGGATAGTCTCCCAGAGGCTTCAGAGCCAAGCGTTTCATTGTTAGCTTATAAGCTCTTAGCTGACGTTTTGCTGGGAGCGGTAATTACAACGTCAGCAATATTCGGTTCTGCTATTTATCATAAAAACGAAACGAGTCCCATACCAGCAGCTGTCAAACAGCTGATTCTTCGCTGTAATACACGTAAAACCTGCTGCAAGAAATCACCTAAAGTGACGATAGTGGTTGTAGAGAAAATACAACCGAAAGACGCTGTAGAGAAAAAAATACAACCGGAAGACGCTGTTAATGAATCGGAAAATGATGACGTAATTTCCTGGAGAGATGTCGGAAAGTGGTTTGACAAATGTTGTCTCTTATTTTTTATTGTATGTCTGTCAGTGAACAATATCGTTCTCATGATATTTATTGCAAGCTAAATAATAAGTATTGATTTCAATCAGAATAGTCCTAGAGCATAGAACAATATTTGTGAGATTTTGTTTACAACCATGCACTAATTTTTTATTACTTGTTATGGTGTGTACGTGTCATGTCTGACAATCTAGGAAATTTTCATGTAAAAATTATTGACACAATGGAGCCCATTCTAAAGTAAATTTAGATTCCAAAACGAAAGCTTGAAAAAAGTGACAGAGAAAACCTTGTTCAAAAAAGTAATAAATTATTTACCACAATCGAAGTACTCGAAGTACTGGGGAAGGTATTTACACTTCAAAAGTGCTTAATAGAGTAAAAACAAGTAACATATTGCATTTAACCAAATAAAATTAGCAACACATTGTAATTAACCACTTTTTGACATAATAGTTACAAGAAATTGATTTATATAATTGATGTTTTGTCAGTTCACTCGGGGTTGAAAAATATAAACCATAGTTTAACTATATCAATGCTGAAATATATGTATACAACGGCAGCTAAAAAAGTTTATGGAAATGAAATACGGAGATAACGGACAGTATTCAAGCTCAAAATCCATTAAAACAATACAATCGGGAGCAGAGCAAACACAAACCTCCAAAAAGATCTGAGATGGGATCATGTGCCATGGAGGAGTGAACATCCCTACCGACCGGCGGTCACACCCGCCGTGTGCTCCTTGTTTTAGTCAGTAAATAACGGGAAAATCCCTCGACAATTCAGTGTGTATATAATGACCTAACAATAAGAATATCAAACGTCAGTCAGCATTTGACTTAATGATAGATTGTATTTGCTGACAAGGTCATTTTATCGACCATAGAACTTACGAAATGATAACTGTAAACGAGACTGCTGATATTCTTGTTTCATCAACTTGTTTGTCAGTAACTTACTTCGTTTTACTTCGTTTTAGAAATTGTTCACAAGTAGAACATGCTCTTGCTTATCGAATCAACTGAGAGATATACACCCCATGTACAGGTGATAAGGGTATACTGCTGCATAAGTAAGGGAAGTTGACGAATCTTCGTCGTTAGATTACAATTAACATCTTTTTCTAGTAATTTTCCAAATATGAAACAGATGTGTCAGACTCTGTGGTATCTTTTATTTCAAGCTCACTGGAGTATATCGTATCGACATATGAATGGAAATAACTATTGTTAGTTGATAATACGTCGTCGATATATCTAAATGTTGAGTTGAAGGCCACAGCAAGAGATTTCTTTTTCTCCTGTATAAGATTTTGAATAAAACCTGCTTCATATGAATACAAAAATGGAAAATCTGGAAAATATCAATCTTGTATTTATTTAACTTGAAACATATGAAATTCAGATTAATTAGTGAAATTACACCAAGTTTTCCTTTTAAGGAGGGATTCTTCTCATGTTTTTAGTATTTAAAAATCAATGAAATTTTCAAAGAATCAAGAAGACAATATCACTAAGTGATGGTATCATTTAGATTAAATTTGACCGTTTTACATTAGAGGCAAGGTCAGGTCAAGGTCATTACCTTTTCCCTGAACATTAAGAATAAAAAATTACTGTTTCCAATCATGCGATACCTACTTCTATTTCAAAAGATTAAATGTTTTTTTTTCTTTTTTGCATAAAGAGATATTACCATATAGAGTATACAGACCCTGAAACGTGCTACTACCCCACACGCACGCTGCACGAACGGTACACGCTCGCTACACGGTTTGCACGAAACGCTACACGGTTTACACGAAACGCTACACGGTTTGCACGAAACGCTACACGGTTTACACGAAACGCTTTGCACGAAAGGCTGCACGGTTTACACGAAAGCCTGCACGAAACGCTTTGTACACGTTTCTCACACGCTTTGTACACGATTCTCGCACGGTTTGGCCTCGATCTGGATTTTCTATTCGGAATCTCTCGGACTTTATTTCAATTATTACGGATTAATCAAAGATTAGTTAAGAATTGCAATCATTCAGATTAAGTTAAGATTAAAACTCGCTACACCAGTACTATATTAACAGATAAAATACTCAATGTTCAGTTGTAACTAATACATAGTTGTCAGTGAGTATGTGACCCGCCCGGTGAAATACTTATTATCGTCTGTGTACAAACCTTTTTTCACTAGACTCTAAATTACGCATTGAAAAAAAATATCATGTTTGTAATTCATAATCGTTCACAGTATTTAATGTTTTTCCAATTATAATTTGATATTAAATAGTCGTTTTATTACTAACAAATAAATTAACTCAGTTATCGATTTAAAAAAAAAAATGATTCAATTGCGTATGATTTCTGTAAACGGATTGGCTTTTTTCCCCTTTTTTAATTATTGATTGATTTATACATTTTTTGATTTATTAAAAAAAGAATTCATTTGATAAAATTAGGTTCTGTTTATAATTTACAAAGGTAATATGTAAACTGCATCTAACAGGAACATTGTGCAGGAAAGGGGGGGGGGGGGAGTAGATTACCGAGATCTTACTGCTGTACATTTATCTTCAAATCTGTACATGACTAAATATAACGGGCACTTGTTTCAGTAAGTATACCATCAGGGGAAAAATATTATAGAAACAAGTGCCCGTTCTAAGAAAAAAAAAAATATCCATATCTCCAGCGGGACCCGATACATGTAATTCATTAAATGCACTTTATTCAAAATGGTAAATATATCGTTTCATTACAGAGTTAAACTTTATTTAATCATTAAAATTTTATATGGTAGAGAAGCCGGGGGATAAGTATTGTCATTATTTAGTTCTCTTTTGAGGCATTGGTTTATCAAATAAAAACAATATTATACCCACCAACTTTTAAAACTCTTCATTTCAAACCGCGTGTAGACAAAAAAAAAAAAAACAACAAATAAAAAATAAATTAAATATACATAAAAAAAATATCAATACTTTATGTAATCAATAATCACGGCTCTTAACAATACGTTCAATATATATGTATACATGTCAAATGTCCTAAAAACTAAAAAGAAATATTCTCTAGAACTGCGTGATTAATAAAACAACTAATATACAGGATTTCTTTTATTTACCAATGCACTGGCAAATTAATTCACTGTTTACAGACAATCGGATAAATTTAAGAAATAAAATCCCCGGGTATTTATTTATACCCATTAAATACTAATAAAACCGTTTAATTTCACAAATTAAAATCAATCGTTATTGTCGGTTGTCATCTTATCTATGATTGACAAGAAATACTTGCTGAACAAGTTTTTAGTCCCGGCACGCGGAAGCCGTGATCGCTGTTGTAAATGACCTTGATCAAAGTCGTAAGAAAAGTATAGATTACAATATTTTTTAAGCGGTGCATCGGGCGCACCCCGAAAAAAGTAATAGATTATTTTAAAAAAGAAAATCATCAATAAAAGACTTGTTTACAACAAAAACTCAGTATTTTCATTTCATCACCCCCCTCCCGGAAATATTTAACCCTGTATTTGTCGATGCATGTGAATTATAATTCATTTATATGACTATTATTAATCAACCAATTTTATGCATAAAAAAAGACTTTAAATGACTCATCGTTCCAAAATAATTTGTATCACACTCTTGTAATATAAGAAAATTATGTTTGTTTATAAAGAAAATCAATTAACTGTGCTCCCCGGCCTAGAATTCCAATACTTCACATTTATAGCAACACCCTTAATTTTGCATTTTATTTTTCACGCCTGCCATATTTATCTATTATTTTGTATTAATCACCGATATGTTCTTGTGATCCCACATCCCATAATTGTAGAATGGTGAAGAGATTCAAATAAATAAATGAAAGGGACAAGACCGAATTTCTAATGAATTTTCTTTTAAAAAATGTTCAGTATTGCTCCCTTTAAAAATGTATTGAATCAAATACCTTAAAATTTATGTGCATATAATTAATTACTTTTAACACATTTTCTGTATCTTTATTGAAATTAAAAAAAGAAAGAAAATCAAACAAATATGTAATACATTACCGAATAATTTTATTTTGTTATTTCCGTATTTTTTCACTCTTAAAATACCACCGGTATGATATATCCGAATAATATTAGTTACAAACAACACAGAATGACATGTTGATCGATCAATAGCCATCTTTAAAATAAAAAGACTTCCGAATGAATCCTACACGTTTCTCACACGATTCTTGCACGAAAGTCGCACGTTTCTCACACGGTTCTTACACGAAAGTCGCACGTTTCTCACACGCTTCTCGCACGCTCGCTACACGGTTTGCACGAAACGCTTTGGAGCTTACACGAAACGCTGCACGGTTTACACGAAACGCTACACGGTTTGCACGAAACGCTGCACGGTTTACACGAAACGCTACACGGTTTGCACGAAACGAAAAGCGCACGAAAGTCACACGCTTTTTTGGGGTAGTAGCACGTTTCAGGGTCTGTATAAAATGATATTACCAAATTGACATAAATAATTTAACTAAAATGGATATTGGCTAATTCGAATTTTCTCTATTTTTCTTAAATTTTTAGGATATTTTAGTTATTCTTATATGATTCCTATATTTAAATTTTTCTTATTTTCACATATTGTAAAGTTGTCACATAGAGATACAGATACAAAATGATATCAAAACAAAACCTTTTGATCGTTTACTAAGAGAGAAAAACACTTTTTAGGTATTTTTGGCTCAAATCTGTACTTAGATTGGAAGCTTTTAAAAGCTAACATAATTGTAGTTTGTTTGGAAAATCATATTTATTTGATATATTTTTAAACTTTAGTCCCTTATTATCAATTTAACTTACATCTAAAAATTTCTTCAAGTCTTTGATTGTGTAAAAATTATACCTAAATTCATTGTTCTATAATAATTTTGAGTGGCAGAAAAGAAGATATTTTCATACGCCACCATTCCGCCAAAAATATAGTCCCTGCTAGATTTAAAACTCATTTTACCATCTAAGGAATGAAGCTTATTTTAACCTATGTTATACGATATAACATAACGTTGGGCAGTTTACGCTTTATAAACCGCGAAGC